TTTTTTTACATAATCCACATTTGTGTAGCAAAAACAATATGAATGAGGTAATTCAAAAAATCCTAAGAAAGGGTAAAAGAATTTGAGTTAAATGTCATTATCATCGACAATATTATTATGAGTTGCAGTATTATGAATACCATCTTTTTTCTTTTTCTCTTTTCTTGCTGATTCACCAACGAAAGACGATAGAATCGTTATACTGTATATTGTTGTAAATCTATTGCACCAAGTTGAAATAAATGGTATACATTTTTGAGCTGTTTTGTTTTTTTCTTCTCTTGAACGTTCATTGCCAAGGGAGAATGGCATGGCTTTATGACGATAATTGCCACTTCGTATCTGTGATGCTTGCATCATTATGACTAATTCTTCACCTTTCAAAAAATGAATAAACGACCATAACTATGGGTACATATCAAAGCGATGTTGGAGACGGTTGCTATGCCCTAAAATGACAATTAATACAATACATATAATATTTCGATTATAACTGTACCATCAAAACATACTCTACCTTCTACACTATTATTGCATTGTTGATGTATTGGTTCTAAATTCCAGTATTTTACCGGTATACACGTTACCCATTGCTTTTCGAAATATTAAATAAATTCAATTAATATTTTATCAGATGATGGTACATTTTCAATCAATGGCTCAATAGCAGCATCAACCACATGCTTCTTTATTAATGATAGTGCCATGAAACTCTTCAACCAAATTGTAACTTCTCCATTTTTTTCATACACTCTTGTCAATCCTATCTTTTGAAGATTTCTAAATATAGATTGAGTAAAATGATATCAACATCCATGAATAGTAATATCAGAAAACTAAAAAAAACGATTTTAGTAACTTTTTTATAGGTCAATACGTGAATGAGCACAACTTTTCTTCTTTAAACAAATAACTTACTATTTTTTCCAATGCATTCATCATACCAATTTCAAAATCCAAATAAGCATATTGTGGTTCTAATTTAAGACCATAATCAGTTGATTTTTTTTTAAAATTTGGAAATCTTTTCATATACCTCTTGGATTGTTTTTGACGTAAGACACCATACCAATAGAATTGCTAAATAAAAAAAACTCATTCCAGTGCAAGTGAAGTTGGTCTGAACAAAAAGTGTCTAGATCCATTCATCAAGATGCTTGTCAATTATGACATATACTTGAGAAAATATAATAGGCCATGTCTTACACGTTCCATCAATTAATATAACTTCACAACTACATAACATCTTGATCAAGACTTGGGTGGAAAAAATCATTAATCTTCCACCAAGTTTTTTTATATGTTGAATCATAAATTAAAAAATTTTCTCCACTATGCGTTTTTGAATACAATTCTGGAACTTCAAAAGCTAATGATTTTGAATTAGTTGGTAACATTTTTGCCCGAATTTTATGAAATTTTGAAGTTAAAAAAATACAAAAGAATCCGAATGTATATTTAACTTCCTAAAGACACATGACATTTCACATGGAAGTCAAGTGTATCTACGTTGCTTATCTCGTGTTGCTGGTAATAAAAAAATACTGTTGATCACCATCGTTCAAATAATTTTTTACATATTCATCTTCTATAATACGAGTAACAGAGGTGTGTTTTATCATTACTCTTTCTTTGATTTTTTATAATACTAATAAATGTTTAACATTATACTGATTTGGTGGATGATTATGTTCAACATTATTTGAATCCTTATACATGTTTGAATCAATAAATAGTTGAATGACAGCACGACAACTAAGATCTTTTTTCAAACAACGAAAATAACGATTGTTTTTTTCAATGATTGAGACATAAGATCATAGGTATCTCCACACATAAACATACGATCGTTATCACGATTTGTCTTACATCATTCAATTTCACCAACAATAATTGACCATGATACTATTGTACATAATTCTTTATCATCATCAAGATTACATGATTTATCATCTTGATTATTATTGATTTGATTAAATTTAGTTGATATGTAAATTAATAAATTGATTAGCACCGTTAATATCAATAGCATCATTAATACCAACAATATCGTTATGATTTTGATGAAATAATTTAACTATTGATAAGTATGTTGATACTGTTGTTGGTATATTAACTAAAGATGTATTTGAACTAGATGGGTTAACTGATGGCGATATAAAGGTAACTGATGTTGATGTTATTGTATATGATTGCAATGCCGGCAAAGCAGTAGATGATGAAACATACTTACCAACTATTTCTTTCTTCTATTTACCATTCTTTTTGTTTACAGTACCAGATACAACAATAGTATCTGCATTAAATGATTGCTGTTGACGTGCTGTCGCAGCACGAATAATCGCTACCATTTTATGATTAACAATGAATTAAACAAGTTCAAATGACTTGATAAGTGAAGAATCTAGAAAAGAGTGTTTCTTCAAAAAGTGGATATGAGAAAAGATGGGTGATACAAGAAGCTTATATATACACGTAGACAAGCGAACGGACCGTCAGTATTTTCTCTCGATATATACTTCGAGAACGAACATACTAAACGATAGATATTCATTCTGACTAGATCGAAGTAAAATAAAGAAAAAAAATAACAAATGACCAAGAGCAGGGTTATGATCTTTTGTGTATGTTAAGAAAGAAACTCGAGGATATTAGACGATGATGCAATATGATGACGAACAGAATAAGGATGATCTTGTTCGTGTGTTATGCAAAAAGATCGAGGGTATCAAACGATGATGCAATGTAGGTCAAAACAAAGGAAAAATAAAGCAGAAAAGGAAAACTACGCGTTTGTAAAGAACGTCATTTTACAACAATAGATCAAGAATTTAATAACGTGTTAATTGAGATCCAACTAATTGAGTAGATTTTCATCTCGTGTGAATATTGTTAAAATTCCGATGGAAAATGGACAATAAAAAATACATTAATAATTCTTATTGTTGAAATTCCATAGAAGCAGATTATCGTACAAAGAAAAAAACATGAATATCTCTCAAATCGATATCGAAGTATTAGCTGTTCAATATTAGAAAGAGTGATTTCTCTACGTAATCTAATGATGAAAAAAGTCATATATAACCGGTCTGTTCTATTATTATTTCAATTTTCAAAGTCATCAAATTTATGCTAAATAGTCTACATTTGTAGAATATAAAACTAATTGACACTTTCATCAAAAATTTTCTGCTGGTTTTTCTCTAACTATCAGGTGTACAGTTATTGTTCGATTTTCTGTCCAGCAAAATAAAAAAAAACACGACTGGAAGATTAAATCATTCATGAAGAAATGGTCGAAATACTGTTAAATCAAAGACAAAACATAGGAACAGAAACCATTGAAAAAATTTGAGAAAACTATATTATTTGTTGCCAAGAAAATGTCTGAAACGAAACTCGACAATTCGATTGTAACACTCAATGTTACACGAGGCTTTTTATTTTATTTAATGAGTAAGTCTCTTAATATAGAGCAGTTTAAAATGAAATCTTGATCGTTTTATCTACTCATTGTGGTCAACTACTATTGAAAATATCAGTATCTGGAAACTTAGAATTACTATGAAAAAAAAGAAAATTAGTTGTATAAATGCCACAACATATTTCTTATGAACATATCAGGCGAAATTATTTGATGAATAACTATGTTAGAAAAGAAGTACACATACAATACAGTATATATTAATGTATTCGTCGTTTCATGATCTATTAACTTATAGTATGTACTATTTATAGTCTCTATTTGTTTAGTTATAAACTAGCAGAAAAACTTTAATATAACATTTTATCTGCTTATCTTTTCTTAACTTATTTTTTCCAACTTTGAAAATTTGTTTTCATGTAATGCTTTCTACTTGAACTAGCACGACAGGTATATTTAGAAATACTTTTGTACATTGATATGAGAGTATTGTCAAATCCTATCAAACAATATATTACACTTATACAAAAAGATTGTGCTTGCAAATCTTTTTACACAAATTCCTAAAGATTCTAGTATACCTCGAGAAACTCTCGTATCTCGATCAATTTAAAAGTGATATTTAGGAAAATTTATTTTTATTCTTCTCTCATATAGTACGCTACAATACATGACCTATCATCTTTAGACTAAAAGAGTTTCTTTTCGTTCATTTCTTTCTTGAAATGGGTGAATCAATATGCAAATCATGTGTACATGTGACAATTTTCACGTTCGAAGTAGTGATGAAAGCAAGGTTAGGATAAATTGGGAACGTTCTGCTACAAGAAGACAAAAGAGTATAATCATTCCCATCATTGGTACTATCTTTCATAGATTTTTCCGAATAGCGTAGAACACTACCCTGCCAATTAGAAAATAATCGTTTAAACAGGTATATAGGTTTTTTTAAATTCTAACTCGACTATAATTGATAATTAAAAGCATCTTTTCCTTCTTAATGAGTATCAATATTTGTTGGCATCATATTCACTTGATAATATATAGAAAATTGAAATTATTTAAAATAATTCATGATAGAATGAAATAGTTTTTCACATTCTCCACCTTTCTCATCTCATTTTTCAGACGTGAGTACCCAGATCGATCATTATGGATTACCGTAAATAACAGTAATGCTACTGTAAACGTCCATTTTAAAGCCATATTATGAAATTACAACACAGGCAATATTACTATCCGTATACAATACTGTATTCTCATCGTAAAAGACTCTAAAGATGTCGTGATCGTGTCGTATTCTATCATACATACAGTCGTATTACTGCTCCTGTCTTTACAGAGAAATATGATACTATTACTTTGAAAAAAATAAGGTACCATACGGAACCAAACATAGTTTCGTACACTCTATGACACTTAAAAACGGTTCCGTAGAAAGCACGAAACTTTAAAAAAGGTTTCGAATTTTGCAACGAAATCGAAATCTTTTTTAAGGTTTCTCATGAAACCTTTGAAATCTTCAAAAAAAAAATATTCGTAGAAGTTTGACATTCATTTTGAACATATCTTGGGTTTTTATGAAACCTCGAAAAAGGTTCCGTACGGTACCATATCTCTTTTTTCAGTGTACTGTGTTGTATTTCATCGTAAACGGTTGCATACGGATTGTATTATTCGATTAGGATACAGAACTTCTCTTGATCATTTGATTATCGAATATCTCCATCTTGATCATGCTGTAGTTGCTGTTGGCTATGGTTACGATAGTACA